AAGCATCTCAGTTCAACATCAATAATAAACAGAAAAAACGTCGTTTGTAGTTTGAGACGCTTTAGTAGTGGACACTCAGACACCATTAAGAAGCGCTAATCTGTCGGGTCAGGATTATAATTATTATTATTGTTCCCTTGAGTTCCTAGTGGGACATAGGGCTTCAACTGCACGTCTCCACTTGCCACTTGCTTTTGTCTTCTGCTGTACTTTTCACCTGCATCATCATCCATGTTAGTTAGTCCATACTGTTTCAACCAACTCCTCTTCACAAGATCTCCTTCATGTTACTCTTACACCGATGTCCCACTCGCCGCTTCCCTTTCGGCCTGGTTCCACTCGAGCAATGGCCTGACGCGCGCGCTATGTCACCCAGCGGCCTGGCCTCCTCAGCAAGTGTCCAGTCCATCTCAATCCACTTTCTCCTGCATATTTGCTGCTGTTGGGCGATTGGTTCTTGTTTTGTTTGTTAGTGCCCATAGTTTCTTGTTGGTGATTCTTTCTGGCCCGGCCATCTGATCTTTAGTATAGTATAGAGCGAAAACAGTTGTTGATAAAGGTCTGCAACAGGCTGTTGGAAATATTCTTTGTGACCCGCCAAGCGCCAAGTTTCTGATCCGTATAGAAGAACTGACTTGACGTTGTTTGTAATGAAAATACGACTGAATTTTGTTGTTGATGCTGAGTTGAGTGACGAAGATTTCCAGATTGGTTTCATTTGGTTGATGAATGTGTTTCTCGCCTTCCCGATTCTCGCTCGATTTGACATCCTCGTCCGTTCTGACAGCCTGTACTTGAGACAATGCTCCCTAGATAAGTGAGTGTATGAAGTAACCTCTTTCAAATCCCTCCGATGATGGTAATTGGCGCTGGATGATTCTGCTATTGTTGTTGTTGTTGGTTGGTTATTTTCGTAACCTCCGTCTTGTCTATGTTCACCTGGATGGAGTCCTGTCTTCGCCGGCTGCTTCTTCGACCAGTTTGTCGGTCGGTTTTCGCTTGTAAGTCTTCGATTTCAAGTGACATCAAACATAAATCATTCAGGCGCGAAATCCAGGTCTTCTAGAGTTTTCACGTCGGGTCAGAAATTGAGCACTGTAGTAGAATAATGATTTTTTATATCTATCTTATATACCACACAATGATTCAGTATTATTAAATGGCTTACGTTTCAAGCTAAAAATTCCCACAGATTCCAAACTTGGTTTATATAGTCTAAAAGTGTCATGTATTTGTACTGCAATTTATTTCTGCTCGGATACATGCTGCTTCATTTGAATTGCACATGTCTAGCGTTGATTTGATGAAGAAAGACTCAGTGATCAATGTCTTCCTCTTCACCTACCGATATTACTTTTTTCTATAGTTTGGTTTGTAAGGATTAATTTTGTTTTTACGAGTTGATCACGGATTGATATCAGTTAGAAAACTATTGAAAGCCATCCACAGGGAGTACTAGACAGCTGTTTCACCCTAATTGGGAATCATCGCAGTACGCACCCACTGTCAGGGTTCAAACCCAGTACCTTCCAGTAACAAGACAAACTCGTATATCATTCAATCAGTGGGACCAGATTACGTTTTAGTAATTTTATCCAATCCCATCCTATTTTTTGATTACACACAAGTGAATGGTTCGAAATGGCCGAACATTCCACTAGATCGCCTTACTTAGAAGGGTCAGTCATTTTATCTCTAGTTAATTATCTATGTCCTGATAATCTAACTGTTCTTGATCTGATAGTTCGCCTTATTTAAATGATCTCATAGTTGTTGATAAATTATGTTTTTTCTGCTAATTACATCTATTACATCCTTACACCGACGAAGCTTGTTTTTGAGTCAGTTGGTTGGTTCAAATGCCTGTCTGATTCCAGTCTAATTAAAAAATCTTAGATAGGACTTTTGAGATTCCTTCTTTAATATGACAGTACTATTAAGGCAGACGTTTATAACCTTAAAACAACTATGTTTGGCAGTTTTCGCGCACTCAAGTCAGTGTGATTCTTTTGTAGTTTGAATGACAGCCAATAGGATACGAGTGAAAAACAAGATATATATATTTGATATAGAAAAAGCCCACATATAATGGAATGAATTCATGAAATGTCAATTATATATCTTCAAGTAATGGTTTTTGTAGGGATTTTTATTTTGATTGAATGGAGGATTTCATTATGAGTTGACATCAGTTAGAGAACCATTGGAAAACCTGCAGGAAGTTCTGTACAGCTGCTTCGTCACCCTAGTTTGGAAGTCTTCGGCAGTACGCCAAGATTCGAACCCAGGACCTTCTCGCTACAAGGCAAGCTCGTAGATCATTAGGCCATTGGGACCCGATCCAATGACCCAAACTAGGATGAAACAGCTGTCCAGTACTCCTCAGTGGAAAATATACTAGTAATGTGATTAGGTGAAAATTACATCAACATATGCCGCTACAATCAATTGTTAGAATGACATATACACCCAGAATTCACCGCTCCATCATGTATTTTCCTAGACTTTGTAAAGAGCTTAATCTGATTGACTGTTAACTATTTAAACGTAGCACTGAATTTAGTTTGTCAAAGCCAATATATATATATATATATATATTTCTTTCACGTTCCCAGTGGAACATATGGCTAGTGGCTTGTAGTTTCTGTAGCAGTGTTTAATTTTATAGGATGGGATTGCTACCCTCATGTCCAACCTTTCCTCTTTATCAGTCTTATTACTGGTTTAACGAGGTAAATGAGTGAGTCGGCCAGGGATCGAACCCCCGACCATGTGAATGGTCAGCGAGCGTCCTATCCGCTGTGTCACCGACGCACCATTATACATACATATATATATATATATATATTCATTAGGGCTGTTCAGTGTTTTCACTGTTGTCTGAGATAATAGAAGATTTCATTTTAACAACAGTCCATCTTTTCTTCGTGTTACTGCGTGCCAGAGTAATGTTATTATTAGTTTACGTGTTGGCGTTGTTGAAGGTATTTCTCATTCGCAAATTAACTCCGTATAGCACACAGTCTGCTACTAATACTACCACTAGGTCATGTCTAGCGGTCATATTATATGTAATAAAATAGCCAAAATCAGAAGAATTTAATATAATAAGATTAATTCTAAGAGAGCTTAGCAAATTTTTAATTTAATATAAAATGAGATTAAGTATAATATTATTAAACTAAGAAATGAATTTGGCCAGCAAACTGGCTGGTAAAATTCTTTTAATGTCTCGAACTAATAATGTGTGCATGTGTAACTAAAAGGTAGGCTGGGTGCCTGTTAATTAAATACACTGAAGTTAATAATATACGAAGTTAAACAATGAATAAAGAATTCATCACCTTCGAAATCAAGATTAAGGGCTTCTTAATAGATTGTCTTTAGACATGGGGTTAATTTATGCTTGATTGGATGGTGGATTTCATCATGAGCTGACATCAGTTAGAGAAACATTAGAAAACCTGGGAGTACTGGACAGCAGTTTTCCTCCTAGTTTTAAAATCTTCATCAGTACGCACTCTCCACCGCCAGGGTTCGAAACCAGGACCTTCTAGTTACAAGGCTAGCGAGCTCGTAGATCATTAAGTCACGGAAACCCGATCCAGTGGTCAGCCCATGAATTCTAACTTCTGCCAATTCACAAAATTGCACGACCATTTTGCAGTGTCTTCTTCTATCAGTTACTGATGAAGAGTCCTAAACTAGGACGAAATGGCTGTTCGGTACTCCCTGCAGGTTTTCCAGTGGTTCTCTAACTGATGTCAGTTCATGATGAAATCCTCCATACAATCAAACTAAAAAATCCTTACTTGAAACACACACTAAATGACATTACTTTTAATAAAGCGCTTCATACTTTAGGCTTTTTCTTCTAGCACACGTAGAGGGGGGTGGGGGGGAGGTAAGTTGCTATTCTTACATACAGCCACCTCTTTTTCTAGGCTTTCTATAGACTAGTAGATTAAGTGAGGTTTAGAAGTGTGTCATTGAGGAATCAAATCCTGGTCGTGTGTGTGTATGTGTGTGTGTGCGCGACTGGCGAACACTCAGTAACTTGACTACAAAAACGCACAAAGCAAACAAACATAACATCCCTGGCTGGACACAACCCATAACCTCTAGGATGCCAGTTCAGCTATGACAAACACTAAATACAACGGTAAAAGAGTACAGTCTTCAGAAAGACTTGAAAACCGATAATAAAAGGATGACAACAGCCTCAAGAAGTGGTGAAAACAGTTATTGTAGTCACAAAAGCAAACATCAGATAACAATTGAGATGAATTTAGCAATAGTATAATCGAAAAGTCTGCTGCATCTCAAGGAAATTCTAAATTTTAAGAGATTAAAATCCAAGACACCTTCTTCAGGAAAAATGGTGTTCAGATCTTTCATTAACTTTGTGATCTCCACTACCGTTTTAATGAGGCTTAATTGTAAAATATTATCATTTTATAGTTTTACTTTATGACTGTTGTTCATCTTATTTTCGTTTATTTGGTTTGAGCTACTGTAATGTTAATAATTCTTAGATAACATGTATTGTTTATTCTATATAGAGCTTGAATGCTATTGACCAACGTTAATAATATTGATTCGCTGAGATTATTGTTTCTAAGTAGAAATGTCTCTAGATAGATATCGTCAAGACATTCATACTATTTAAGAAGGCATTAGCTGGATGAATGGACCTGCAATCCCGGAGAGCGACGGTGTTCAGCACTGAGACTCGAACCTGGTACCTTTCTTTTCAAATGTCATCAGACAACTAAGAGAGACCAAGGGCTATAGAAGATTCCTGTCTTATCCTAGTTCAGGAGCCTTGAACAGTTGACAGACGCCACTTAAACGATGGATTATACCAAGCGTTTACAATCCATGATGCAACGATTGGGTTAGAATCCAAAGAGGAAAGCCAGAATTGACTTGAACAAAGAAAGAGAGAGAATAAGGTTAGTAAATACAATCACTGAGATCAAGCGAAATGAATAACTTACTGTTGGTTGAGTTTCTCCCGTCTCTTCATCCAATTCCCTATAAACATAAATCAATAAATTGATTGAAATCAGTTAAAGGAGACAATGATACACGTTAACAATGTGTAAATAATAAGAGTAAGAATGATGATCACCTTATTCTATTCGTGGTGAAATGTGTCAGGTTGGATGAAATTGATTATGATTCTTTAGGGTTCTAAGTGTAACATGCAGCTTAAGAAACATATCTCCACTTGACTCTGTTCTCCACTGTTCCTTTTAACTGACTGTACGATAAACTATGAACTGTCTTTGCCTTTTCACACGATCTCCTCCATATCACTATCAGATCCACCTCTAAGTCATCGTTTCCGATTCAGCTTCCACTCGAGAGCCTTGTGCATAATGTCACCCAGGTGTATGTCCTTATATCTTTCTTGCCTTCTCGATTCTGGCTTTAAGATCCTTATCTGTGTCAGTTGTAAGTGAAACGACGCTCCCTAGGTAAGTGAAAGAGGTGAATTCAGCTTGATTTCTTCAAACTGCAGTGATTGGTGCTTAGTGTTGTTGATGATCGGCTATCTTCACCACCTGTATCTCTTCTATAATCACTTGAAGTCCCGTCTCGACTTACTACCTCTTCTGTCAACTTCTCAGTTTTCACCTGTAGATCTTCAAGTTTGTATGACACTCAGCATAAGTGATCAGTGAATTCCAGATGTTTTGGTGTTTCTTCTTTTTCGTTGGTTGATCTGTCTTCTCGCAGCCTACACTCCGGCGCATGATCCAGTCTACTTAAATCAATGGAACTTTTGATAATGAGTGTTAACTAGTCCCTAGACTGGATTTTATTTTAGTTGGTGCACGACTGTTTGAAATGCATGTGCACATCTGTCAGACTGTTTAGCGCAATTGGGATCCTTTCAACCGTCAATTAAACTGTGACTGCATGCAATAATATACTAGTTAAGCGAAACCATTACATTACACAATTGCAATAGATATGCAAAAATGACTTAGGCTTATTTCTGCTTACCAATTGAGATATGTATATTGGTAATTATTATTATTATACGATAAAAAGCCATTAATATAAATGATTTGTGAGTAAATTTCACTGCATAGTCGTTATAAGTTAGAGAACTACTACTACTAAAAACTGATGTGTTGCTTTCTCCTGGCCTGTATCTCTTAAACAGTACATGTTCACTACAGCCTTATGCATTGTACCAAACGCCTACATCTCATGAAGCAACCATTCGGTCAGAATCAAATTATTTTATTTATTTTCATTATAGCTTGATTCCACTATTTAACTGAATTTTAGACTTTCCCATCGATTGATTGATTGAACCAAAGTGCTTGGGGTCTCAGGTTGACATGTCGGCTTCTTGTGCAGATGCTTCAACGATGTCTTGGCATGTAATTTGAAGTTAATTATTGGTGGATGGTAACTACCAGTGGAATCCTAGATGCGCATTTCGTTCTGCTCGGGATCCTTCAGATGGATTTGCTTGCATTCCGCAGTGTGTGATGATATTCCCACCGAGGCTCAAACCCAGTGCCCATAGTGGATAACGCTTTGGCGTTTGATTAACATTTATGGTGTCAGACAGATCACACGGTGTGATCTGAATGATCTGATTTTTAAAGGAAACTACAGTAAAATGTCATCTCTTAAACTGTGTACATTACAAATTGTGAATTTGATTTATGGTGCCACCAGTTCATCCAAGTAGCTGACCAGCCAGGTGGTTTGAACACTGATTCGGCTCGGCTAGGCTAGGTCGAATTAGTTTTACTGCTAATGATCTTTGCTGTAAACGAGTGGAACGGACATCGGGTGTTTCGATCACCTCAGTGTTTCTGGCAAGCACCATATATTTATCTATTTTTCATTATAGCTTCTTGATTCCATACCGTATTTTTGGTACAAGTTTGGAATTTTCAGCATGTGATATCGGCAGCCCAATTTTGCAGGCCGACCATTGATATCAAGTGTGCGTCGGCAGAGGATCGAATCCCAGACCATATGCATGGTCGGTGAGAGTCCTAACCAACGCACAGTAAGAATGAAGCTAATGAATCCCACCTCCAATCAATTCATTTGGTCAATGGTTCGATAACAGAATCCTCGCCAGCCACTTATATGGTCAAGGATTTGATCCCCAACTGACGTTCTCCTAAAACCTAACTCAGTCGATAATAGGCATGGTAAACAGAAAACGTTGGATGTATGGATAGCGACCCCACACTTTAGAAAATAAACATCACTGCTATTGAAACTTCAAAAGTCAAATCTGTCTGTTGTCCTCGGAACAAAAAGGAATACCATAAAACAAAATCAATGCTTTGTCAATAGAGGCTAGGTATCCTGACTAATGGTCATCAGAAGTACAGGAAATTGATTCCTTTGTCAGTCATGAATGCTATACAGTGGATTAATCGCCTACTTCTCTTTATCTGTCTTTTTCTGTATTTATTTCTCTACATTCTATCTTCTCTCTTTGTTAAAAACAAATTGAGAAGAACTGAATACAAGACATAAACAAATGAAGAATTCTTTTTCTTGTACTCCAGTTATCAAAACATGTAAATAACCCCCTCTATATACCTTATAACTTCATTCCACTACTCTCAACCTAGATCGATATCTTAATTGAGGAGTTCCATTTAAGAAAAAATGGTGAGGAAAACATTTTATATATAATGTGACAGTTTATTTTACTGTTTTAAATCATTCTTGAGTTTAGTTTCAGTTTTGCTGCAACTGTATGAAAGATTAAATATGTATTATTATTATTATATCCTTTAATTCCTAGAGGAACATAGGGCTTCAGCCGCCCAAGTCTCCATTGCCTTCGGTTTTCAGCCAACTTTTTCACTCCGCTCCAAGTCTGCCCATATGCTTTCATCCCCTCTTCACATGACCTCCTCCAGGTCACCCTTGCACTGACGACCAACTCGCCGCTTCTCTTTCGGGTTCCACTCGAGCTATGGCTTGTTTATTGATGTCACTTGCTGGTTTCCTCAGTGTATGGCCAGCCAATCCATCTCCATTTCTTGCTGCCTATTTGTTTCACAATCGGTTCCTGTTGTGTTGGTTCGCTCATTTCCAGAGATCCCTGTTGTTGGTCTTTTCTGGCCGGCGATCTGATCTTGAGTAGTATTGAGTGAAGACAACTGTTGATGAAGGTCTGAAGTTTGTTTGAGATGCTCTTTATGACTCTCCAAGTCTCTGATCTGTATAGAAGCAGTGACTTCACATTGGAGTTGAAAATTCGGATCTTATTTTTGATGCTGAGTAATTTTTAACTCCACACAGACTTGAGAGTAATGAAAGCTTGTCTTGCTTTTCCGATTCTGGCTTTGATATCCTCGTCAGTTCGGTCGGCCTGTAGTTGAAACGATGCTTCCCAGGTAGGTCAGTAGGTAAAGGAGGTTGTTTCTTTCAGGTTCCTCCCATTTACGCCGGCTGATTGTTGTCTGTTATTTTTGCTGTGGCTGTTGGTGTTGGCCAGGAATCTTCATCATCACCTCTGTTTTATCTATGTTCACTTGAAGTCCTATCTTTGATGCTTCTTCGATCACCAACTTGTTGCTTAACACTTTCATATCTTCCAATTTTGCTGCAACTGTATGAAAGATTAAATTTGGAGTTAGATATACTTGTGGATCTACAGTCAGAAACCAACGTGTTGGCAAGAAGGGCATAGAAAGGCAGAGATGATGATGATGAAGACAACATCAGCTGACATCAGTCACTATAAACAGCAGAGATATACATGAAGTTACTTCTTTCATCTACCTAGAAGTCATAATTTCAGCTAAAAACTATACAGGTGACGATGCAAAAGCCAGGATCGGAAAGATAAGGCGAACCTTCATTAATCTGAAATCTATTTGGAAATCTACACAACCCACCACCAGAAGCAAGATCCGAATTTTCAACATTATTGTCAAGTCACTGCTGTTATATGGATCAGAACCTTGCACTGAGAGTCATGAAAATCATTTACAGCAGTCTACTGAAGACTTTCATGAAAAGCTGCCTTGGTCGCAGAAGATTTCAGGCTTGAAAGGATAAGCGATAAGAAAGTCTGAAAGCAAATCAAAGGGTAGCTCTATTAACCACGCTGAGGAGGCTATTGAGTGACGTTACACCCTGGACCCTCGAATGGAACCATAAATGGAAAGAATGAGTTGGGTGTCGGTCTTAGGGTGACGTACAAGATACAGCATGATGAGGAGATGGTAACTTATGGATAGTGGTAAAGCTGACTGTACATAAGAGGATGAAGGAGAGATATGCTTCCGAAGCCCTATGTTCCAGCAAGAACCCAAAAGAACAATAGCAATAATACCATTTGCAATCAGTGAAGTGATGAAATGAGAAAATGAAGACTCAGAAATTCAGTCAACATCAATAAAGAGCCAGAAATACTGAAATTAACCTGCATAAAGTTCACACTACGCATACTTGCATAGAGTCATAGATTCACACATTGCAGAATAATCAAAATTCAGCCTAAAATAACACATTGTCTACCTACTCCTTTGTTTTGCCGTATGGAACATTGGGATTCAGGTTCGAGGCTTTGAGTTTTGAGTAGGTTTGGTTCCGTCTCACGTCCAACTTCTCAACCTCTCCCTTCTCCTAGGGTTGATACCGGTTCAAAGAGGTTTAGGAGTGTAGCCGTCGAGGATCGACCCTCCGACCACTTTCATCATTGATGAACACTTTACTCTGCATTACGCGTAAAGCGAAAGGAGTTATAGTATTACTTACTGTGTTGTTCTTGGCTTCTCGGAAAAGATACGTAGAATAAAATCTGCTTCTTCATTTGGTTGAAATGTTGATGGAACAATTACATAACGACCAGGATCTAATCTATGCCGACCGCATACTTCACGTAGATTAATAAATGCTGGTGAACGTGCAGTTGATGCATTGTATTTGAAAAATTTCATATCCAATGTACCTTGGTGTTGTTCAGGTATCTGAAAAGAAAGAATAATAATAATAATTATTATTATTATGGTAAAAACTGAGCATAAACCTACGCATGAGTAATTTCCATTCACCCAGTTTTTACAGTATTCATTTTATTTTACAAATGAATGACTCTATAAATGTGGATAGATAGTGTGGGATTCATGAATGGGAAAAGAGTATTATAAGTTCTGATAATGATTATAATAAAGGAATTTTGTATTTCTCAGTGAATGAAAAACAAAACGATATAGCTTTTACCGACGTTTCGCTATTTAATACTGCTGCTAATACCTTTATCAAAGTAGCATTATTAAACCAGAATTTAGAAAATCTCAGCTTGAATTATTTTTGTTTTCCTTTACGTTCCCCAGTGGAACATAGGACTTCAAGCTAGTGGCTTGAAGTTTCTGGATCCTGTGCATGGTCGGCGAGCGTCCTAACCGCTATGCCACCGACGCAGCTTGAATGCAACAACTTAATCATCGTTCCTCAGCATGGGGTCAGTTTTGCGTTGTCAAGTTAGTCCTGATGGCAAAGATAACGAAACCAGGTAGGTGTAGATTGTTGGATTCGATAAGTGTGTGAAATTATGAAAGCAGCCTGTGTTTACAAAATGAAATTGCTGATCACATTCATGTTGATTTCGTCATTTCATCGGTGTTTGCGGGAGGAGGGGGAGACTGTTGTAACCAGGTAAAATTCTGTTTTAGTCCATCATTCCTATTCAGAAGATTTGAATTCCATTTGATATGAAGTTCCTCTGATGACATTAGATGTTCTCTGAGAATTCCAAAACTTTTCTGGATGATTTCAGTAATATCAACTGATGGCTGATGATTTTTCAATCTTTTCTAGTTCAACTGAATTTCTTGGTGGTCGAACAGATGCACTACGGTGTTCATTTCTTCTGATTTTGATTTCTCGAGATGTATGCCCGATCTATATCGCGTCACATTCTAAGCATTTCATTTTATAGACGCAATTAGATAGAGGATGTTTAGGGATTTGGTCGTTTATATGGAAAAGGTTATTTCGTAGTGTGTCTGAAGTTTTAAGGAGAACTCTGATATCTACCTTATTGAGTACTCTTCTGATATCGTCTGACGTCCCCGCTCTCTCTCTCCCTATATATATATACATATAATCTGAGGCTTTGTAAATTCTGGTTTAATAATACTGCTTTGATAAAGCTATTAGTGTAACAACAGAAGACAAGGGCCAGGCAACAGATCGTTTTATTATGAAAATCAACACGTATTTATACATATTTCAGACAACATTATTATAGACAAGCGCAGTCATCTGATTGGTTGTTTAGGTAGACAAACGCAGGCTTCTGATTGGTTGTTTCGGGATTCCTTGACAAACAGAGTTCTCTATCTGCGAATCATATTTTGCCACGTTAACTTCGCTGTGATTGGTTGTTGACTCAGCCTTGTTCACGGCCCATATTAGTGACCTAGACCTTAACGTAGATTAGTGCCAACCAATCGGCTAGCAGCCTGCTCTCACCACATTAGCACTAAACTGCGAAACGTCAGTAAAAGCAAAATCGTTCTGTTTTTCATTCATTGGGAAATACAAAAAACCTTTATTATAACGAATATCATATCCCCAATGTCAAAAATGCTTTCAAACTGTTAAAAGTGAACTTGGTTTGGACATATATAAGTTCTGTTAATAATTGAACTGGCAGCTAGACTACCTCAATTATAATTTAAATATAATTCATATAGAAAAGTGCATACAAAAATGCCTACATACTTGCTGGATAATCTCAACCAGAAGTAACAACCAGTTGGAAGTTTTATGGAATTCAATCATTCAAGAATTAATCTAACAGATAGTAAGCAAACACATTTAAAGGAGAAAAACATAGGAATGATTATTAACAGATAACGCTCTACATACTACTGGTTGGTCCATTTAAGTAGTTGGCTATCAGTCATTAGTCTCAGCTAGAAAGAGAGGTTTTAAACACTGAGTGACTATTTCACTTATCTAGGGGCCGGGTTCACCATCATCAATGACTCACCTCCAAGAAGTGAATGAGTATTCAGAGCATCTGAATTCTAGTAGTTAGCTACTTGGATGAACTCACAATACATGGAATCAAAATTCGCAGTTTGTAATTTACACACAGTTCCATTTATAAACTGAAATTATTCAGATTATGGCAACATGTGATTGACTCGATGTCATAAGTTGCAAACAACAAGGCAAACGTGATTGCGTGATGATATATTATAGTGATTGAAATTATTTATTATTTTTATTTACTGTTGCCTTGGGTTCCGAGTAGAACATACGTCTTCAACAACACATCTCAATTGTGTTCTGTTCACTATGGTCCTCTTTAGCTGGCCTCACAACTCTCTAAAGTCTCTGCTTTCCCTCTCACACGATCTCCACCATGTCACTCTCGGACGCCCTACTCGTCGTCTTCCACCCTGGTTCCACTGGAAAACCTGGAGCACGATGTCAATCAGTAGTCTCTTGAGCGTGTGTCCGATCCATATACATTTCCAACGGTATATTTGCTGAGCAATAGATTCTTCGTTGGTTCATTCAGACAGTTCCTTCTTAATCATATTTTTAGACATTTGATTTTCAAAGTGGAGCCAGCGAGAGCACAGTTGTTAATAAAAGCCTGTAACTTGTTTGAATTGATTTCCGTGACGCGCCAAGTTTCTGACTTGTTGTTGAAAATCCAAATCTTGTTTTATTTTTATTTTCAGTGAATGCAGAAGATTGCCAAGATGATTTCAGATTGATGAAGGCGTATCTTGTCTTTTCCAATTTTGACTGGATATCTGACATCTTCATTCGTCCCGCCTGCAGTTGAAACGATGCTTCCCAGAAAAGTGGAGGAGGTAACCTCTCTCAAATTTCTTCCGCTGATAGTGATTAGTGCTTGTTATTGTTGGTTGTCCAGTATCTTAGCTCAGTGGTAACGTCTCTGACTGCAGTACTGGGTGACGCGGGTTCGAATCACAGAAGCGACATGAGTTCCTTCAAGGTTGTAGATACGCCTTGCTGACGAGTGCAAACTAACACGAAACCTAGGTTCAAGGCTTCCTGTGACAGATTGCCTCCAACCACCTAATAGTATCTTAGTCACCTTGATCTTCTCTATGTTTACTTGAAATCCCAGCTTAACTGTCTGCCTTTTCTGTCAGTTTGTTTATTTCCATCTGTAAGTTTGTGAATTTATGCGACATTACACATAAATCGTCTGAAGAATCCAGAACTTCTAGAGTCGTCTTGTTGGTGCAACGTATCGCTTTTTGTTCAAGAGAATTAGGTAAACTGGAGACTCAATAGTTAATAAATAGGACACCGAACTTGGACATTTTTTCAACTTAACTTATGCACATAAGGCGAAAGTTCAAATGATATAAAAAACCAAATTGGTAAGTGTTTGGATATAATCGAAAAGCAGCTGCATAATAAAAGCGAAAGGTGGAGAAGACAATTATTAACTAAAAAAATTGCTCAACAAAGCAGTGATTTCAATTGGAATCATAAGGACAAAAGATAATTGAAATTAGACTTAATCAAAAGATGCCTCGCTGGCACAACGGTAGAATGATCGCCAACCACGCAAGTAGTGGGGGGATTCAACCACGGGCCCAACGCACTCCTTCACCTCGCTAAGCCATTTATAAGACTGATAAACAGGGTAGGTTGAGCGTGAGGCTAGCAGCCCCATCTCGCAAAGCTACACACCACTGGGAAGGAAAATTGTTAAACAGAATAAAATAAGATTTAAAGTGTTTGATGGCAGTGGCTTCCACAAAAACTGGAGCAGAACTGAACAATTTTATCTACCGATAATTTCTTCCCTTAATTTTGCCTTTACTCTTGACTGGACTATTTTTTACCCTCTGTTCAGCTAAATTATTTAAGCCCTATGTAACATGTGTTGTGCATATCATACCTCTGTTCAGTTTGTCATAATTTTTCGTAATTGTTGTAATAATTTCTAAATAAACTAACAAGCTTAAGAACAACTTTTTTTTCTTTCCACTATGCTGTTTAATCAAATGACTTTACGATCAATAAAAAAAGTAGCCGGATGTTTTATAAGTTGATATTGAATATTTTTTCAGGTTATAATGCTGTCAATACTGTTGAATACTGAATGGTTTGTTTGTTCAAAGTGATCTCCATTTGGCAGGAAACAACAGAAGCACGAATGAAGACCATCGCCTAGTTGTACGCTAGTTGGCAGAAGACTGGAGAAACACGATCAAAAGTATTACTGTGCTTTATGTTAACGTTTAATTCATAAACGTTTAGCCTTATAACCCTATCGCTATGGTTCGCTGTTAGTGAATAAATAAACGATCCCTGTATTGCCGATCCGTTTTTCTTAAATATTCTTGTGTCGGTTACCTCACAGTTGAAAAAGGTCAAAGGAAAGATAATGATTATATTTTACCGTGTTCAGTAGTGTTAGTCTTGCTTTGCTCAAAACAATCCAACGTTGAGAAGGATTTCACACAAATTTTCACAGACATACACTTATGTTCTAGTACAACACAGGGATCAAGATCACCAGATCATTCAATGGTGGAATAACCTTCAACTAATCTTTATTGTTTATTGATTTCTCTCAGGTCTATTTATCACTTGTAAGTATTTATAAAAACTGTCCTGAACCCTAAACTATGTTCTTATATCATTTATTAAAACAGTGTATGCGATGAATATTCATTTCACTGAATTCTCCTCATGTGTAAAGACATGGTTCATTGACTGAGGCACTCGATTTTCAATTAGTGGGTCTCTAGTTGCAATTCCACTCTACTCACTTCTGTCTGGGTGACTAGGTGGTAGTATCATCAGCCTTTGCATAAAAAGTTAGTTCCATAGCGTCGGTGCCTCGGTGGAACATCAGTAGAATGCTCGCCAACTACGCATGTGGTTCGGGGTTCGACTCTGGGTCGACACACTCCTTTACCTCTCTAGGCCAGTAAATAGACTGGTAAAGAGGGAAGGT